CTAAAGCTCTTGGCACATTGTCACTCGGATTGGAAATTTGCTTCGATAAATCAAAACCTCCGGATGCGAGACTGAAACTGACAGAACTAAAGAAAGACCCGCATGCTTAGATGGAGGTGGTTCGATTGTGGTGGAAGTCGCTCCTCTGGTCGCGTCCTAAGAGTTTGACATTCCTCTTTGGACTGTGTCCCAGTTCGCTGCTAAGAAATATTCCACGTTCTGTTGCATCCTTTTGATGTCATCCGCACCTATGGTTTTTGGAGAATTCATCCTTTTGGATGCTCTCGACAAAGACTGAGATAAAACTCGTCAGCTTAAAAACGTAATTAGGATGGGAGACAATGTCTTTTTACCATGTCGACACCTCATTGTTCTCCTCAATATTCGACGTTGACTCGATCGGTCTGACGTCCAGCAAATAAAGTTTATGCCTTGTGTTTTGCAATATCATCTTCAATGTATTCTATTCTTGAAGTTGAAATAAATAAATAAATGCTGATGCAATATTGATGTTTCTTTTGTAGTCATCTTCGATGCTCTTCTTGTGTTTACTTTTTCGAAAATTGAAATAATGCAGTTGATGCCGATGGATAAATGTTGCTCTTTCTTTATCTGTGTATGTCCTTTTGCGGGGCATGAATGTCTTCCCGCGATACGTAAATTCCTGCGAGGTGCGAAATCTTCTTGCGATGCATAATTTTCAACGAGGCATGAAATCTTCTCGCGATGTGCAAATTTCAACGAGACATGGATTCTTCTCGTGATGCATAAATTTTGGCGAGGTATGAACTCTTCTCGCGATGCCTAAATTTCAGCGAGGTATGGAATCTTCTCGCGATGTATAAATTTTGACGAGGCATGAGATCTTCTCGTCGCACATAATTGTTGACTCGCAATGCATGATTTTCCGCGATGCATGACTTTTCCGCGATGCATGATTTTCAACAAGGCGTGGATTCTTCTTGTGATGCATAAATTCCAGCGAGATATGAAGTCTTCTCGCGATGTATAGATTTGACGAGGCCTGAAGCCCTCTCGTGATGCATAAATTTGACGAGGCCTGAAGCCTTCTCGTCATGCATAAATTTCAAACTCGCGATGCATGATTCTCCGCGATGCATGACTTTCCGCAATGCATGATTTACGCGATGCATGATTTTCGCTATGCATGATATTCACAATGCATGATTTACGCGATGCATGAATATTTATATCGTCTGTGTTGATAATAATGGTAAAACGACCTCCAAATAATATACCAACTTGATCGATAATAATAAATAATAATAAAATAACTATCTCTTCTGGGGTAATGCATTGTCTTGATTGACCATAATTATCTTGTTTTGATAACGTAATGCAAATAGTGCCCTCTACAAAAATCGTGAAATCTTCATTGAGATTCCTGTTTGATTCACCTTTGAACCTAGCTAGACACTTTTGTAAATTTCATATTATTGGGAATGACTTGAAATAAACAAACACAATCCCAAGCATCCTGACACAAACAAGATGAACTGCCTCCCGCTCTCAGTAAAAAAACTGGTTTTGGAGATAGTTTTCTCCTCTTTGGGAGCTCTCCGTATTCATCCGTCGGGAGAATTCGGCCAATTTCAAAGCAAAGCTATAACCCTGCATCCACAGAAAAAATGTTAGTTTTAAAACATACGTTGGGAGAATTCCTTCAGTTGTTTGCTCCTCGTCTTGATATCTTTGGTTGATTTCTCGATTTCCAGACCCATGATAGATAAGAAAAGATATCTTATGCCAAAACAAATGAAACAATAAAAGGAAAATTTTAAGAAAAATAAGAAATCTTTAAGAAATAGTATCTTGAAAAAGTCAATGCCAAGTCATATCATATCAGGCTTAACGAGCCCCTTTGAATCTGACGCTCGCTAATGAATTTCAGAGGCACTCCGGACTTGTAGGGAAAACCCATAACAAAATTTTGAGGCCATCCTCAAAATTTCTGTCCCAGTTTAATGTCTTTCTTATCTTTCTACTGTAATTAAACAGAACGCGGGATTTTTGAGATCCTCTCAAAATTCTGTCCAATCGCAAATCTCAAAATGTCTTTAGTTTGACTTGCCGAAGAGAAGGCTTCTTCTAGAGAAGTTTTGAGTCCCTCTCAAAATTTTATCCTTGTTCTATTGCAAAGGGGGATAGAACTTACTGGATATATGACCGAACCCTTGTGGCTCCTACGTATCCCGTTGAGGCAGGAATCAGGTCAAACGTAGTTTTCCCCTTAAAGGTTAACAAGAATAAAATTTACAAAGAAACCGACCGAGGCCGACAAAGGCCGCCTACATATTTCATTCTTGAGAATTCAGGTCGATCGTAGTTTAGATACAAGGAAATAATTAAAGGGGATAAATAGGGGGACCGAAGCCGACATAGGCCGCCTACGTATCTCATTCTCTAGGATTTAGGTCAGACGTAGTTCGTTGCAAAGAGGGATAAGAATTCAAATTGAACAAATACAAGCAAATGGAACAATTACAAGTAAATAACAGAAGAATGCAAAAAAGGAAATTCACGTATAGTATCTCTCGACAACATCTGAGTTGATAGGTTTGGGCCATACAGTGCCATCCATCTCTGACAAGACCAAAGCACCTCCAGATAGTACTTTACGAACCATGTAGGGACCTTGCCAGTTTGGTGCGAACTTTCCTTTGTGCTCGTCTTGATGAGGAAAAATACGCTTAAGAACCAACTGGCCAACTTCAAAATTTCTGGCTCTTACTCTTTTATGAAAGGCGCGAGTCATTCTCTGTCTATACAACTAGCCATGGCAGACGACAACCATCCTCTTTTCATAAATCAAAGCTAGTTGATCAATCCGTTTGCTAACACATTCAGCGTTACTTAACTCATCTTCTTGGATGATCCTCAACGACGGTATCTCGACTTCAACCGGCACGACTGCTTCTGTTCCATATACTAGCAAGTATGGAGTAACCCCAGTCGATGTTCTGACCGTTGTTCGATAACCTAGTAGAGCATAAGGCAATATTTCATGCCAACCTCGCTGTTTGTCAATCATTTTCCTCAAAATCTTTTTGATATTCTTGTTGGCGGCCTCTACAGCTCCGTTCATTTGGGGGCGATAAGCAGTTGATTTTCGATGAATAATCTTAAATTGTTCACATATCTCTTTCATCATATGACTGTTGAGATTTGCACCGTTATCAGTAATGATGGATTCTGGAACTCCAAATCTGCATATTAGATTGTTGCGGACAAAATCGTCCACCACTTTCTTGGTTACCGACATGTAAGAGGCTGCTTCCACCCACTTGGTGAAATAATCAATGGCAACCAAAATAAATCTGTGTCCATTAAAAGCAGCAGGCTCTATAGGACCGATGACATCCATTCCCTAAGCTACAAATGGCCAAGGTGAACTCATAGCGTTAAGTTCGTGAGATGGCACCCGTATCAAATCGCCGTGCACTTGACATTTGTGGCATTTTTGCACGAATTTGCAACAGTCATTCTCCATAGTCATCCAGAAATAACCGGCTCGAAGAACCTTTCTTGCTAAAGTAAGCCCATTCATGTGTGTACCACAAACTCCAACATGTATCTATTCGATAAGTCTCACAGCTTTAGCAGCATCCACGCATCTTAAAAGACCCAAATCTCAAGTCCTCCTATACAGGACTTCTCCATTTAGAAAGAAATTGAGAGTCATACGACGTATCGACTTCTTCTAATTAGATGTAGCGTCTTCCGGATATGTCCCAGACTCCAAGTACCTCTTTATATCAAAATACCAAGGCGAACTATCTGGTTCCGATTCGACGTGTGAACAATGGACTGGATGTTCCTTCAACTCTATATCCAGCGGGTCGATGTAATCAGTATCCGGATGTTTGATCATCGAAGCGATAATGGCTAAAGCGTCAGCTAATTCATTCTGTATTCTAGGAGTATGTCTGAACTCGATTTTGCAAAACCTTTTACACCGATTTTGCACATACTGTACGTAAGGTATAATTTTTGGGTTCTTCACAGCCTATTCACCCTGAACCTGATGAATCAAGAGGTCTGAATCTCCAATAACTCGTAGATGTTCATGTCGATGGCTATTTTTAGACCAAGAATACAAGCTTCGTATTCATCTATGTTGTTTGTGCAATTGAATCGTAGTTTAGCTGCCATAGGATGGTGCTGTCCAGATTCCGATACTAAGACTGCTCTAACACCTTTAACTTGGTGATTCGCTGCTCCGTCAAAGAATAATCTCCAACCTGAATACGCTTCAGAAATATCTTCACCCACAAACGACACCTCTTCATCGTGAAAATAAGTCTTAAGTGGTTCATATTCTTCATCCACGGGATTTTCTGCAAGATGATCAGCCAAAGCTTGTGCCTTTATTGCCTTCTGAGTCACATACACGATATCAAACTCACTCAACAGCATTTGCCATTTAGCTAACTTTCCGGTCGGCATCGCTTTCTGGAAAATGTACTTCAATGGATCCATTCTGGAAATGAGATATGTAGTATACGAAGACAAATAATGTATCAATTTCTGGGCAAGCCACGTCAGAGCACAACATGTTCTCTCCAGAAAAGTGTAGCGATATTCGTACGGAGTAAATTTCTTGCTTATGTAGTAGATAGACTTTTCCTTCTTCCCTGTCTCGTCGTGTTGACAAAGTACACATCCAAAGGCGCTATTCGAAACAGAAAAATACAACAACAAAGGGCTCCCTTCTCGTGGAGGAACCAATACTGGTGGATTAGACAAATAGCTCTTGTTAGCATCGAAAGCGGTTTGGCATTCCTCAGTCCACTTAGTCGGGGCGTATTTCTTCAACAACTTGAAAATAGGCTCACACACCACTGTTGATTGTGCTATAAACTGGTTGATATAGTTTAACCTTCCTAAGAAACTCATCACCACTTTTCTCGTTTTCGGCGGAGGTAACTCTTGAATTGCTTTAATCTTGGAGGGGTCGAGTTCAATACCTTTTCTGCTGACTAGAATCCTCCAAAAGCGCATTTGGCGGGATTTAACTTCAAGTTGTACCGATGCAAACGCTCAAAGAATTTTCTCAAGTGTGTCAAATGATCTGAACTCTCACGGGATTTGATAATGACATCATCCACGTACACTTCAATTTCCTTAAGAATCATGTCATGGAAAATAGTTGTCACGGCTCTCATATAAGTAGCACCGGCGTTCTTGAGGCCGAACGACATCACCCTGTAGTGATATACCCCCCAAGGTGTGATGAACGCCATTTTTTCTACGTCTTTTCCATCCATCAGAATTTGGTGATAACCTGCGTAACAGCCCACAAATGACTGCATCTCATGTTTGGCACAATTGTCAATCAAAATATGGATGTTCGGCAACGAAAAATTATCCTTCGGACTATCCTTGTTGAGGTCTCTATAATCAACACAAATCTTGATTTTCCCATCTTTCTTGGCGACCGGAACGACATTGGCCAACCAGGTTGGGTATTGTGTTACTTCCACCAGTCGAGACTCTATTTGCTTGGTGATTTCTTTCTTAATCTTTAAGCTCAGTTCAGCCTTGAATTTTCGAGTCTTTTGTTTCACCTGCTCGAACCTTGGGTTGATAGGTAGCTTATGAGATACGATGTCGGTACTCAAACCCTGCATATCACCGACTTCCCAAACAAACACATCACTGTATTCGGCAAGCAAATGAATCAGGCTCTCCTTTTGAGTTCCATTCAGGTAGGTGCTAATCTTAACCTCTTTGACACATTCTGAATCTCCCAAATTCATCATTTCTGTCTCCTCAAGATTCGGTTTACGCTGATTCTCAAACTGTCGAAATTCCTTTGCGACATAATCTGGTTCCCTGTTTTCTTCTTCATAGTCGTCAACCTTGTCGTCATCTGTCTCATTTTGCTCATTTAGCTCATGACATGACATGACATTGACAGGCCTGTAACTTACATTACTGAAATTATAAACAGACAAAATTAGGAAAGAAAAGTATAACAAGCAATTAAATAAACAAAGTTAAAAATAAGGAGGCTTTCATTTAAAACAAAAAAAATGCAAACTTTGGTCATGGCACAAGGCCATGTCGCTTTTTTAAACATCATAACAAAAATTCAAAATTCGAACAATTAAGCGAAATGCAGAAATGCTGGGTCTCGGGCCTTTTTCGGACGGCCACCGATTTTAGTATGCATAAAATAACTCCTTTCTACCAAAGAGTTCGGGACATCAGGATTGGCGTGGAAGTTCAATTCTGCAACATCTACCCTGGTTCAGCATCACGAATGCCAGCTGGCTCGACCCCCTCATCAATGATAGCATTGATCTCCTTGAAAAGGTCACAAATTCGTTCCCCGCAGTCTTCAGGCTTGGCACACTCTCGGATTGGAAAGGATTAATACAGATGCGGGATCGGTTTAGCCAACTCTTGATCCTTTTTCTTCTTCATCTTCACATCGTCATCTGTGGGGATGTACCCTAAACCATATTTTGATCCTTTAGCAAGGACAGAAACTGGCTCAATAATCCCTTGGGAATTTCTTTCCAATCCAAAACCTGGTTTGAACCCATTCTGCAGCATTACCGTGGCAATTATTCTGTACACGGCCGGCATGGGGGCCTGCGGGGCCAAATCCTCATCGGTGGCATTTACCAACTCCACCATGTAAAAATCCAAACCTTGCAGCGTCTCGTCAAAGACTGACACCTGCTTGCTTGAGTGGCTTCTTTCACCGTGAACAACTAGCTCCTCATTTTCCCATACCAACTTCATCATTTGGTGAAGAGTGGAAGGGACGGCTCCACCCATGTGATTGAACGTCCTTCCCAGAAGAAGGTTATAGCTGGTGCCAATATCTAACACTTGGAACTTCGCGTTGAACTCCACGTGGCCAATTTGAAGGGTCAAGTCCGCCGCCCCCAATGTGTCTCTTTGCACACCATCAAACGCTCTTACATTAACCTGATTTTGCTCCAATTTTCCGAGGTCAAACCTCAGCTGTTTCAATGTGGACAAGGGGCATATGTTCAAACCAGATCCATCGTCTACCAAGACACGATTGACGACCTTTCCGCGGCATATCACATTGACGTGTAGAGATTTAACATGGGATCTTCCTTTGGCTGGCAATTCATCATCGCAGAAGCTAATGCGGTGTCCCCGAATGACCTGATGAATCATGGCAGCTACGTTATCGCTTCTTGTACCTGAGAGCATGTACGTGTCATCCAAGGCTTTCATCAAAGCCTGTCTGTGGGACCAGGAGCTCATCAGTAGGGCCCACACAGAAATCTGGGCCGGAGTCTTCTCCAAGTGTTTGACAATGGAGTAATCTTTAGGCTGCATTCTCCTCTAGAACTCCTCGGCTTCTACTTAACTTATTGGTCTCTTGGCATGGTCTTTATTTTGTCCTCCGAGAGCAAGCTCATCAGGAGTGTAGCATCTCCCAGACCTAGTCATGCCTTGGGCCACGACTGTTTCTATGACAAACTTGGGTTTGGAAAGAGTTTGTGAGGGCACCAAGGCAACATCCTTCGCAGGTGTCATAATAACGAACTCTCCTTTTTCCTTGACGCTTAAAGAAGAGACAACCTTTTCCAAGTCTTCCTCCGTAACAGGAGTAATCCTCTTGGTTTCACACTCATGTTCGTCTGTTTCTATCATGTTGATGTTTCCACCCCCACGATTCGGCAGCGGATTTGTATTGACGTTCGGCTCCGCGGGCTGAAGGGAGACCACTTTCTGGTCGTTCAAATCCTAGATCTTGTGCTTAAGATTGATACAGTCTTCAGTGTCATGTCCAACACTGTTGGAATGATAAGCACATCTCTGCTCCAGTTTGTAGAATTTAGAGTTGACATCCACGGGCTTGGGCCCTACAGGGTGGATGTATCCGGCCGCAGATAATCTTTTGAACAGCTTGGTTCGGCTTTCAGCCAGCGCGGTAAAGTTTCTGGAGGGCCTCTTTTCAAACCTGGGATGAGAAGGATCATACCCGCTCTGCTGAGGGGGAGGAACTTGTTGATAATTATGGCATTTGGGCGAGGAGCTTGGGTTCTAGGGTAGGGATTTATCTGGTAATTTGGCACTGGAGCTTGGTAATTTGGGAGGGGGCTTTGATATGCTGGAGCTTGGACTTGATATGTGGGGGAAGGTGCTTGATATCTTGACTGTACATTAGCGCAGCTCGGAGCTATATTCTGGTAAGGGGGAGGAATTTCATAAGATTGGGGGTAATTTGGTTACACGGAGGGAAAATTTTGGAGATTTGGGGGCGGATTTTGATATGACAAAATTTGGGCATCTGGATAAGTCGGGGCAGCATTACAGTTTCCAGAATGATTGGATTGTGGACGATAGGCTTGGTGAGACTTTGGTGGAGGCTTAGAGCGGTCTTGAGGACGCGACGAGTTCCTGGGTACTTTTCTTCCCCTGTATGAAACAACGGCAACCTCCTCTCTCTTCTTCCTCACCAGTCCGGAAGATCCAGGCGATGCTGATACTCGGGCTATCTTCCCCAACTTCAGGCCGTCTACGTTAGTCTCATCAACTTTGACTATCTCGACGAACTTGGCTCCGATTAACAAAATGATTCTGCCATAGTATTCGGGCTCTTGCACCCGTACGAACACTTCTACAATCTCCTTTTCAGTCATTGGAGGCCTCACCCTCGCTGCCTCTTTTCTCCATCTGTAGGCAAATTCCCGATAGCTTTCTGTTGATTTCTGCTTCATTTTCTCTAAGGAATATCGATCAGGTACTATCTCAACATTGTACGCAAATCTATCGATGAAGTCTTTAGCTAACGCGCTCCAACTAGGCCACTGGCGAGTTTCGTGTGACGTGAACCATTCCAGGGCCTCACCGCACAGACTCCGGCTGAACAACCTCATCAGTAAAGCCTCATCTTTGCTAACTCCCACGAGTTGGTCGCAGTAAGCCCTTAAATGCGCCATGGGGTTGCCTACCCCTCCGAATGTATCAAACTTCAGAATTTTGAACCCTTCAGGAAGGTTCAAGTCTAGGTGGATATACAATTCCGCATAGCTCAATCCGGCGACGTCTAGAACGCATTGTAACTCTTTCATTGCCCTTTTAATCTCCTCCTTTATGTCGATCTTTTCTTCTTCCCTTGCCTTCCACTCTCTCTCCTGCTCCTCGTAATGATCCAACTCGGAATCGTGCACCTCATGCTCGGCCGAAACGGGGACTTGAAATGTGGTTCTTTTTGGGAGGGGTGGAGCTATAGAAGGGCTCGGGACGTTTTGTGCAGTTTGGTAGTTTTGTGGGTAGTTTTGAGGATTGGTGTTTTGGGTTAAGTGGGGATGCGGTGTTTGGGGGTTGAAGGCGGTTAGATTCTGAGTTTGATTTTGGGGTGTGGTGGCATTTGAGTAAGATTGTTTGGAAGCGGTAGGGGAGTTTGATAAGATACGGAAGCATATTGGGGGTTTTGGGTTGTTAAATCTATCCCAGACGGATTATGCACGGGTGTTGACGGCTGGTTCTGAGTTGGATCCAAATTGGACGAGGGGAAGTACATCGGAGGCCTCGCATCAACAAAATTAGGGCCGAATCCGGGTGGAGGCGTGTCCTGCCTTCGCTGCATCTCGACCCTCATATCTGCTATCTGCTGCATCAGTTGTGCAATTAGTTCATTTTGTTCTGCCACGGTGGGCCGAGCCACCACAACGTCTGTGAGGATGACCTCGTCGTTATTGTCTCCCATAGCTGTATTTCCTCTGTCTGAGTTTGGTCCGGGGAAGGAATCTGTAGGACCTTTCGATCTGGTAAAGTAGGGATGATCTGCCAGCTTTTATCGATACGGATCAGTTAAAGGTACCTGAGGAGTGAAAACAACTCAAAGGCAAATTTGTTAGTGCATATTCGGAGTACAAAATGCATAATATCGCACAGAAAGCAGATAAACACACAAGTCGCTTTGTTTGAGGATATCTTCAACCCATGAATGAGGGCGGAAATATATTTTGAACAAACAAGAATTTGCTTGTTTTAACGCTATCTCGGGAAGGCTGAATCACGTTGAGCTACGGTCTTCTTGCAGTTGCTTTTCGATGCCCGTTAATCTTATCTTCATATCTTCGTAACACGGGGAAGAATAAAAAATTTTAGTGATAGGGGCCGGGCCGGGAAAGGTTGCTTACGTATCTCACAAGGAGAATTAAGGCCCAACGTAGTTCGAGTTTAGGATGAAATATTTTCATTCATTCTTTCATTGCGATTACAAGTAAATATAAAAGACAACATTGAAATTCCTAGACGACGACAACAACATTTTGATGATTTCTTCCCTTATCGTTGCGTCACTCCGTTCCCTTCAGACAATCTGAAATGGAGGCTTGTAGATGATTTCCTCCTCATCGTCCTCCTCAATTAATTCATTGACGGGGCCACTGTTATCTGCTCCCTGGTCACGAGTGAGGTATTTTCCGCCCTTTAAGTTGCTATGGGTCGTCAATTCCTCATCGAGTGACGCACTTTTGGCCAACAGTACGGCAGTCTCAACATTTATTTTCGCATCTCTCGCCTTTTCTTCGTGCACCTCCAAATGAAGCATGTTCAACCTTTTTCTTAAGCTTTCGGTTTCCATCTTAACCTCTTTATTTCTTTTTATCTGCGACGCCAGATCTCCATCCACTGTCACAGCTGCAGCCTCGTAAATTGTCATGGTCATATCAACTTTGAGTCCTTTCTCTTTAACCTTTTGAATTTCTCGAGTGACTCGTTCGATCTTCCTTCGCAACTCCTCTTCAGTGAGCTCCGTCTGGATGTTCTTGCCTCTATCCATAATGGTGATTCACCTTTCCTGAGACGACAGAGCGGTATTTAGGATTTGTGGTATGGGAGATGGACTTTTGAGTGAAAAACTTGAGACTTGGGAATTTGGTCGGACATTTGTGATAGTGGCTTCCGATATTCTTTGAAATTTATGGCTAGGAGTGGGTTTACGATATCCTCAATCATAGCGACATAACACATAAGCATTTCAACACACATATATATCGCGTCCTAAAACATACATGGGGACCCTTTTGTGCCAAGGGTAGGCCTAGCGCATTCGGATGATGTACGTGTGAATTTAAACAAAATAAACAATTCCCCCCAAAATAAAATTTAATAATGGATAAAAATATTCGAAAGGAGAAATAGACATAAAGACAAACCCACGCAGGGGCCATTTGAAAGTGCAACAAAACTAGGCCCACGCAGGGGCTAAAGCAGTGTAAATACAAGTAAAAACCCACGCATGGGTGATGTCCACTAGGCTGCTCCGAATGGTCCTACTCCATCGTCGTCTTTCTGGATTTTGTGTTGCTGAAACATATACCTCAGTATCAATAGAAAACCTTCACCCAGACTCCTTTTGTCCTCCGGACTCTCGTATCGCATCCTCTCGATTTTCTGCTGGATCCAGTTGTCAAACTCATCATACCCCTGCCTCAGTCTTTCAACCTCTTGAGTCACCCTCTCAAACGCGTCTTGATTCTCTACAAACTTAGCATAGACCTCATTGGCCTCTTCCTTCATCTCTTGCAGTTCGGCCACTACTTTGGCCTCTCTGTCCATCACACTGCGAAAGCTATGCAGAATCTGAAAGGAGATATTCTGTATGTCCCTTTTCAGCCACTCTTTGTAACCTTCGTCATATCCAGCGTTCAATCGGTCCAGGGCGATAGTGTCTTTACCCATGCGCTTGGCGTTTTTCCACTCTCTGAGCATTTTCGAAGCGTCATGCACTCTGTCATCTCCAATGTCATACACATAAGCACCGTAGTACGCTTCTCTGGGCACAGTCTGTTTTCTTCCGAATTGTCGCAAGACTCGGAATGGCGCGTAAGGGCAAATTCCCCGAATGCCTGGTAGAGGGAGCACGACACATCTGTGACTCTCCACGACAACTTCCTTGGATATAAAACGGTCGAGCATCCATTGGAGGTCCTCTTCCCTCAATTCGGAGAAAATTTGGGCCCATCTCCCTCTTATTCTCCGATTGTTCATATTTGCCCAGAATAGTAAATTGTTTAAGTCCTTGAGAGTGTTCTTGTTATCGAGGGTGTGCAAATCCCAAGTCCCAGCACCTTTCGCCAAATGGCTGAGAATCCACCACTAGAGGAGCAGATTACACCCTTGGAAATATCGGTGTCTTTGCACTTACCCAAGGCCCGATGCATGTCGGATAATATGACTGGGGCTATGGGGTAGTATTTTGTCGTTCCTTGATTTTCGTATCCTTTGAACAACGTGTGGACGAGCATTATGAATCTAGTGTTGATGCTCAAACTCGGGCCGTGCGGGAAGACCATTGTTCCCAGCAATGCCACAGCAAACGCTAAGGGACGGACCTCGTTCCACTCCCTGTATGAAATCTTAAACTCCCAATTATACGCGGCGTAGAAACTCGCATGTCCGAATCTAACATAGAGGTCTCTGAACATCACGTGGGAATCCTGACACCAATAAGTGAAGTCTTTTCTTAGTCCAAACCAATCCGCGATATTCTCTACGGAAGTTTTGTTGGGGATAAAAATATCCTCTTGTTTTCGGGCTCTCCTCTCTATACCAGTGCCCACGATGTCTATGCAATCGCTTATCTCTTCTAGTGTCTGGGTAATTTCGGCCGTTCTGAAACGGAAGACCATTTTCTGACTGTCCCAGTACCCCATAAGCACCTCGATTAGTTCTGGCCAACCATCCATGTTGATCAGCTCGGTTAAGGCACCCACATACTTGTTAAGGGTTCGCCTATGATCCCCGTCCAAGTCGTTGTGCCACATCGTAAGCTGAGGCGGCGCTGAGGCGGCCATATCAAATTTAGGGAAGCGGTCCATATATGTAAAACAGAAACCCGTTAGATTTTCCCTACCCCCAAGTTGGTTTTCACACATACATTTATTCGAATGTCAAACAATATGATGCATCGTGAGGTCGAAGACCTTGGACACAATTTTGGCGGTTTCTCTACTAAAATGGACTTGATACGCCTTGGGTATTAAGTCGTCCTAGGTTGGTGCCTAATTGGTTTTGGTTTCGCTCTATATTAGGCTTTCTAGAGTTGTTTTCAAATTTACGGTTACCTGAGTCGGACAAACATCGGGGTGGAGCTATCAAACAACGCCGAATGACCGCATTCCGACTATTTGTTTGATACTCCCAAATAATTTCTTGGGTATATCTGAAGAAAGTCGCGGTAAGCCACGTAACTTCCGTTTTCTAATGCACACTATTTGCTGTTTGGCGGAATTATGTCATGAAATGCAACATTTCGAAAACTAAAGTAATTAAACATTTAGACAGTTATCACAAATAGTCCAACAAAGTTAATCTTTAGGGTTAGAATACTCCTATTCTCCAGCGGAGTCGCCAAACTCTTTTCGAATATTTTTTCGATAAAACAACATAATATTGCTATAAATGGTAATAAATAAACAGCATTTTTAAAATCAGAAATTATTTTAAAATGTACCAATTTATGTAATTTTTCCATATATATATATGTCACGTATCAACTGTATATGTATTATGAAAATTTGTATTCCCTGTCAACTGTATTTGTCGATGCAAATTGTGTTTGTCAATACAATTGATATAATTCTATTCTATATATGATACAAATCAATTGTATCAAGAAACTTATACTTTTATTTTGTGTCAATTGTAGTTATATTTTGTATCAATTGTATTCATGATATAACAAGTACAATATGTATTCATCCTCTCTCCTCCCTTTCTCGATCACGTTCGTCTTTCTCCTCCTAATATGTCGCTAAATACAATTGGTTTTATACAGTCGTATTTGTTTTGATACGAATAAGTTGTATTATTTGTACTTGTGATAAACCTTATAAAACTAATGCAACGTGTATTCCACCTCTCTCCTCTCTTTTCTAGATCTCGCTCGGCTCTCCTCCCTCTCTCAATTTCGCTCGCCTCTATTCTCCTTCTAATATGTAGCCATAATTCGTAACTAAGCAAATTATAGATATAGACTTCTAATCAAATTCAAACTATAGTTATTTTTTTTAAAATCAATTAATTATTACCTTAATAAATATTTAGTTGCTAGTCTAACCATATTTGGTTCAACTTCCTTATTTTGACCAATTTTAGCCCAAATTGCATATATATATTTTTAAAAAAGATCAACCCTCTTCTCTGCATCACCCTCTCGATCTCTACATATTGGACATGACTGTCGTCGCTATGGAACTACCGTTCGTATGTGTGGCCATACGGGGAGTCCACTAACAACAGCGGATCCATGTGAAGTCCGTCGGGTGCTCGAGTATGTGTGTGTGTGTGTATATATATATATATATATATATATTATTGAAATTAAGAAGCATTTATATAAAATTAATCTAGAACATCCAATAAACAAGTGAATTAATAGGCCTAGTGGCTCATGGTGGGTGCTTAATATTGTTTTAGTGTTGCTGAGCCTGAGTTTGAATCTCACTCTTAACATGTTTTTTTTTTATATATTTTTTTAAAACTTTTTTAGTGAAAATTTCCCCTGTCACTATTAAGCGAAAAGAGCACTCATAACTTTAAAATCTTAGATCTGTCACTGACTAACAATACTAGCTTTCTTAAACTGAATATCAAGTTTGGATTAACAAACAACTTCATTTACTAAAAATTAATTTCAAATATCTTTATCTTAATAGGTAATTCAACACAGACAACTTTATATACTTGAAGATATTC